GCAACGCACAAAAATTCCATCTACTTTCATTTCACAAATTCACGATAAAGTTTTAAAAAGATATAAAATAGACTCCTAACATCTTTAGTCAGTAGTTTGAACATTATCGAAGCACATGTAAGCAACCGTCCATTCGTAGTCAATGCGATTACTCAGTTCAAAAAAATCAACAACACTATTTGATTTTAAAACTGTTAAGCTATAATTGTTGTATTGCTAACAACCCAGTAGTTCTTGAGTTATAACAAAAGTCGAATGCCACAGATGGATATGAGAGAATTGAAAAAGTGATCCGATATTCAAAATAACATTTTTAGTAATTGACCATTGACACATTGAATAATCATGTTCCCAAACAGTGCAAAGAGGAATGATTGTAGACAATTTAAACAAAACGAAAACAAATTTTAAAGAAACGAATAATACTTCGTTCCTCAGTTAAAGCAAATACTACATCCCATTTGTATCAACAAAATTCATGTACACATACCGAAACTTGCAGTATTAATTCAAAAACTTGTGAAAATAAAACTTAAATCTATTGACAGAGCAAGATCTTGGTTAGAACATCCAGAAACGTCTAGACTTTTATGTGACAATTAGAGAGTCAACCACTAATTTATATCAACAAAATTCATGTAGACATATTGAAACTAAACATCAGACATTTCATGTTGATGAATCTTTTACATTACATTAACCTGCGTTATTAGAAATATGTGGCTGACGAGAACAGAGCTCAAACTGCTGCAGACCTTCGAAAGAAATGAAGATCCGATTATTTATTAAAACAAAATATACTCTTAAGTACAAAATGATAACACAACAAAATCTAAAAGCTATAATAATCTGTGTTGTGGTAATATGTATCGCGATAATATACAAATAAGTTGAAATAAGATCTAACACCAACAAAGATCTACATTTTCACATCATATAAAATATTTTGTTGGCTTTGTTAAATATAACAGTGTTCCACTAAAATGTGTATACGTATAACCATAAATATTATTACGTGGTGCCGATTGAATAGAATCACTTAAATCTCCCAATGCTTCCACTAATATCGTGTCATTTTCTTCTAAATTAGCGTAAACACTACCACGAACATGAGAAAATCGTCGTCGACAATCACATCGAATCATGCCCAATACTTTCAAATTATTATGAACAACTCGAACAGTAGCCTAAATAAGATGAAGGAAGTACACTTTACTTCATCAGTAACTCTGACCAAATCATTAACGTACAATTGAATCCATTTGTGCCATAATTGTTATACTAAACTTGTATATTCCTGAGTAAGGCGCTGTAAATACTCCCGTATTTGTATTATAACCATTTCCTTCATTAAAATGAATTTTTTCAAAAATAATTGCCGCCGATTTGTTTGAATCGATTGATAGCATTTCTTGTAGATACGCGATAAATGCAACGAGTGGCGGATGTTCTTTGGACAGACCTGGTTCACCTAACAATTTAAATAAGAAAAGACAGGTGAACAAGTTTAACCGCAATTAATTTCTCACCTTGTAATCCGACAGGACCTCTTTCTCCTTGTTCACCCATTGATCCCTGTATTCCGGGAGGACCTTGTGGTCCATGCATTGCAAGAAATGTGTCAACGGTAAATCGTCGACTTCTGCTATCATGATCATAATGACCTTTTAGAAAAAGAAAATATTGAACAAACAATTGATATATGTAACGAGAAATTCTGTTATACACAAATACGATTAAGTTCAACGTATCCCATAAAATAAATGTAAATGAAACAAACGAGTTTCAATGCAATACACTTACTTCTTGATGATAATGCTGGACATCGAATTGACAAATGACAAGGATCATCTGTTCGATTGTCATATATATTGGTTGATGAAGGAGTTTGATAATGATGATGTGCATAATGATGATAAGTGGGCGAATTCGAACAATATACGTTATATAGAAATAAAGTAATTACCGTCATGCATTCATAATTTATCATCGTAACAATTTTTCTAATCTTTTCTAAATACTTATATGAACGAGTTCATGCAGCAGAAAAATACTCTCAAAATTAATATGTGTAAAAAGAAAAAGAAAGAAAATATTAATTAAAAATAAATTCAAAAATCATTGAGTAACAAACATCGAAAATCACGGAGTTGAGAAAAAGAAAAGGGACGTTTTTTTCTTTCGTCGCTTTATCGCTCGAGATATAGAAAAAAAGCTATTGTTGCATGCAGCTGCAATTGTCAAA